GCTGGGAGTGTCTTTGTGGCGGGTTTTTACTGCTTGATGTTGCTTTTCTTTTTGTTAGTGGGATGCTCTATACTTACAACACCTTTCAGAATGTTGAATCTGAATTTGTCCAGGAGGCACACCGAAGGGATTCAAGTGTTTGAACCAAGAGAAATTGAGAGAAAGGAGAGAGAGAGAGAGAGAGAGAGAGAGAGAGAGAGAGAGAGGAGAGGTGTGTATAGCGACTTGACCCTCTGAGGCAAAATGGGGATTTCCTGGCCACTTGTAACTCTTTTTATATAATCAAATATTTGTGATACAAAGAGGGCGAATAGCCTAAAGTTTCTCCCTATAAGTAGATACATGAGAGAAAGGAGAGAAGTAAAAATGTCTCATTACATGATACCCCCTATTTGTTGAAGAGGGTTAGCAGTAAAGGAAAATCACATTTATAACTATACTTCATGAAGGGTTGTACATGTTATTTTAGTAAATACACACATGTGGGCTTGTTCGATTGGGTCGAAGAGGTGAGTCGATCAAAGCTGTTGGCCAGCTTTCTGGATGGGACCGTCGGTTGATCGACCTTTCAGGTATCAGCGATCGGGAGGATTCTCGGAGATTGTTAGGGAGATGGGTCCATCCGGTTGAAGTTGGCTAGCTAGATGAGTTGAGCCGGTCCTCAGTCCTCAATTCCAACTGGGAGAAATTTTGTTGGGTGAGAAGACATGTACCCTCAAGTAGAAAAGATTTTCTAGTCGTGTCTCTTGTTAGTTTAGATGAATAGTAGCTAGAGCGGGCCAATCGGCTTTTCATGATCCTCTAGTCGTTTTTTGATGGGTTCAACTTTATCATATCATTCTTTTCTTGAACTTGAATTGATTCATGACAATTTCTCAAATACCATTTAATTTTAAATCTTATTTCCAAATATATAGATCCCTTCGAGTTATGCTGTTTTGGCTTAGGAATTAAGTGGTATGTGTGTAAACTTTCATCTTTCTTGCTTGGCACCGGATGACGGCCATGGCGTCTCTTACATTGGTTGGCTCACCTGCGGGAGGAATATTTCACCCTTCTATTCGTCAAACCTCCAAAATACACCTCTTTCCTTACTTTCGTGGCCTACAACATCGGAAGGATGTCCGGTTATGGGTCTCGTCTCGAAGCGATTCTATCAATGCCTGCTCCACTTCACCGCCAGCGCCATCACCCCCTTCTCCGGGGCTTTATTCGGCAGATATCTATGAGCTGACTATGAGTAACGTGGACTTGGTTTTGGAGAAAGTTCGTCCATACCTCATAACTGATGGAGGAAACGTCGACGTGGTCTCCGTAGAAGACGGAGTTATCTCCCTCAAACTCCAAGGTATTCTCCATCTTCGATCCACATACATTAGCTTTTGTATATCTTTTCAAAATTGAAGAGAATTTATTGGAGGAGTTTGATTGAGACCTAGTTTTTCAAACCATTCTTTCATAAAATTTGCCTGGTTGTCGAGAAAGATGCCTGCCAAGGTGATTGTGGAACAGCCCGACTAATTGATGGAAAATAAAAAGTAGCAAAGCGCGTAAGGGCTGGTTGACGAAAGCAAGTTTTGTGCTAGGGGAATTCATCCTGGTATAGTAAACGTCAATCAAATAGTTTTAGCTATTCCAGTAGAGGATTCCTGCACCCTTACCAACGTTAGGATAATTGGCTGAATAAAACTCCAAGGAATAGATCAAGTTTCTGAGCGGAGATTTCTGCTAGCCCTCTATTGCTCCCTTTACGAAAGTCAAGTTCTATCTCTCGAATTGATTTGAGTTGGGAGTCATATTTATTGAGTTGAATATGGTAGGTTTTAGAATTTTCGTATAATTGATTGATGCATGTCTAGAACATCCAAAGGTGATATTCCCAGCCTAACTATCATAATTTGTGCAAAATTTGATCGGATGGCCAAACCATTAGGCCAACCGACCTTGATAAGGGCCCGGCCAAGGTGATCGTAGATTTGGATTGTGCCGCTACCTTCAATCAATTTAAGAAAATATGTTCATGTTCATAGTTATGCAATGATCTCAATTCCAGTGCAGGAGTGGTGTTTAACGCAACAAATTGATGAAAGAATCCTTAATATTCACTATGAAGGTTGGAAAATTTTTCTTCATTTTGAATTAAATGTTTTGAGACAAATATCTCATCATAGCATGGAACATACCGACCACTATAAACTCAAGGAAATTTTGTTTTCCAGGATCTAATAATACTAAATGAGGGCATGTTGACAATGCTAAAACTAGCCAAATTACTCCTTGTCAGTGGCTGGTGTTGGCTTATCGGTTTATCCAGCAAGGACTATGATAGTTTAAGTAGTTATTCTAATCAATTCAATAGGGACAGTTTTCTGTCATTTTTGGCCATTTGGGAACTTTGAAGTACCATTTTGATTGCTTCAAGCATGTATAAAATTTGCTTGCCCCTTAAATATTTTCTAGAGATGAATATAGTTATAGAGATGGATATAGTTAAATTTGTCTCATGTAGGCTCTAATTCAATCAATTTTGAGTTGAATTGAACCTCAATTTAGTTTTTTCTTGTGCTACACATTAAAAATCATGCTTATTTAGGTAAGAATTTTTATAAACCGACAATTTCCACCTTAATTTTGATGTTCTTGACAAAATTTCCAAAATTTTGATGCAGAACAGGAGTTCATTTTAATGCAAATTAATAATGAAAAGTTATGTTGAATTTTTAGGATTGGATAACAAATCTATTGTTGAATGGATGCCCTTCTCCACACAATAACATCATCCAAGCATGATTCGACTGGGTAGATGAAAGTTATGCTATCTGAAGTCATTTTTTATCATTATAATAATTGCTACAAGGTTTTAATTTCTAAAACTAGTTATAAGTTTGTTATTGGTTTTGAGTTGTAAGGAAATCTAAAGTAAGGTTAGATGATTATCACCATCAAATTCTTGTGTTTGACCTTCTTAAACAAATTATGCGGTGTCATGCACTCCACGTCCAAGGGTGGTTTCCAAATCTAAAGGTAGTTTGCACATCTAAAGGTGGTTTCCACATCTAAAGGTGGTTTCCATGCCCAAGATTAAGTGGCCAACCCTCCTTTTTTTCCAAATGGAAATTTAAATGAAGAGGCGCCTCAATGCAATCACCCTTTCACATGTAATCATCAACCTCCTTCTTTCTATTGTAATTTGGATTTGTAATATAATTACATGATATGTTGTAATTCATATTGAATTAATGAATGATAATTTGGTGTTTTATTGGTGCACTTTTTGGGTTTGAAGCTTGGTGGCCGAATCCTTTCGACTCTCATTCGGTGTATAAGTTATTATTTTTGTGTTTTCTTCTCTTTTTTACTTTTGAATTGTGCTTTTTCTTATCATTTACCTTCTTCCTAACCTTAGAACACTCTCCCATTCCCTTATCTTCTCATTTTTTTAATTAATAAAACATAATATTATGACTTGATAATAATAGCAATACTCATAAGGCAATCAAAAGAAATTGCTAGATTAAAATGTAAAGGAAAAAAAAATACAATTTAAGATAAAATGATGATAAAAGATGAAACTATCCATCTACTAGGTTAAGTTATCCTTGAAGAGTTCCCATGTATGGCTCTAGCTTGGAATCCTATGGATATTGGTGAATGATGATAATTATTTTTCTTCTTTCTCCCTTTCCTGAAGAATGGGATATGAAATCTTTTATCCATTTGGGCATTAATATTTGATAAATTATCATCGGAATCAGAAAGTTTCTTAAAGTTTATTGCTTTGACACCATTAATAATAGTAAGAGAATGGGGCGATAACTCATTTTAAGGACCTGTGCACATGTTCTTGGATGCTGATGTGATCACGATCTCCTTTTCAGTGCTTTGTTCAATAAGGGGAGGTTTTGAAGGCTTGATTGCACATGTCCATCTAGAGTTTATTCCAAATTCTATGTGCATTCTTGAATTGATAATGGTGGAAATGCATTATGCATGAATGAAGATAGCTTAGATCATTTGTATGTTCCCCTTGCTCATATTTGCTAGGATCAATAACAATTGATTTTCTCAATTTTGGATGAGATTTGAAGAAAATATAGTATTTTTGCCTAGATAATTACAAGAGGTGAAATATAAAGGCATGTTTTAATTACAACATTTTGCTAATAAACACAAGAAAAAGAGCCAATCCAAACCTCTATTTTTATAGGCACTGTAATGTCAATTTCCACCATAACGACAATAAGTATTATGGAGGGCAACAAAATGCATGAGGCACATGATCGCAATAAGCACAATCGCTAGTGTCAAGGACTAAGATGACCTCAATGTGATGTGGTAGTTTAAAAAGTGACGCACAACTAAGGTAAAGATTAACCCAACATGTTACTTAGCACAACAAAAGACATTTTGGATGCACGAAGAGAGCATGCAGGTGCAATGGGTGCTTGATATCGTGACTATGCATTCCAAGGATGAGAGTGGCCATTGAACGCTACTAGGGTGAGATAAGTTATCCATAACATGCATCATAACCTAAATTTGAGTGTACTTGGATTCCCATTCTTTTTCATGCAAACACAATATGATTGAATTAAGGCTTTTCATTTGACCATTCTAGAAATCATAATTTCCATCCATTTTTCTTAAGCAACCGCCACTCCATCCCATTTCCGAACATCAAATCATCATTCTATCTCTTAGCCACACCCATGGCCATCCAAATTTGTGCCCTCTAAGCCCAAGCTCCACAAATAATTTATTTTCGTAAGCTAGCACATCTTTTCTTAAACCTTAACTTTTCTTATGGTTTTTGCTAGAGAATAAAGCTTTGGTAGCTAGTTCTAAAAGAAAACGGGACAAGCCGTGTGTATATTTATGAAATTTTTTCAAAGATAACTCAAATGCTTAAGAGATTATTTATATTAGGTGACAAGGGTTTCAAAATATTATTTAAAAATAATTAATTAAGCCCTCACTTAAAATCAACACGATTGTCACTATTAAATACTAGTAGTTTTATTAAATTTTTTAGATTTTTGGCATTTTGGAGGGTTGTAATTTCTTGTGGAGACCCACCATAATTTTTTTATTAGTCGGCTCGCAATGATTTTAAGAAGATCTTAAACTTTGCAGAGCTTCGTTTTGCCAATTGGATTTTTTTTTATTTTCTTGCATGAGATTAAAATCTTTTTTACAAAAATTCCTATTTAACCAAATCTTCGGAGTATACTTCCAAATTATTACAAGAGTTTCATGGTAGTGTGATCGAGTGACATTCAGGGGTGCGCTGGTACGTGAAGGACGTGGTGGCAAAATGTGATGTGTGCCACTAACAAAAGTACTTGATCACGACACCAGGGGGATTACTACAACCACTAGCATTATCGGAGAAGGTTTGGGAGGAAGTAATGATGGATTTTATTGTGGGGTTGCTACGGTCAGACTGATTCAAGGTGATTATGGTGGCCGTGGATCGCTTAAGTAACGTTTCATTCGCTCACATCCCTACACTGTGGTCCAGTGTTTTTCCGAGAAGTGGTCCATGTGCACGGGGTACCGAAATTAATAGTTTTGGATGAGGAAAAAATGTTTCTTAGCCACTTCTGGAAAGATTTATTCAGGTTGCAAGGGACAGTCTTCAAGAGGAGCACTGCATATCATTCCAAAACTGATGGACTGACGGAGTTAGGCAACACGGGTGTGGAGACATACTTGCGTTGTTTTATATCTGACATTCCAAAACTGATACGTCGAAGCAATAGGCCAAGTGGATTGCATGGGCTGACTATTGGTATAACACGTACCACACCGCATCATAGACCACCCCTTTCAAGTTATTGTATGGGTGAGATCCACCTCACTTGGTACATTATGAGCATGGCGCCACACCAATATCTAGCGCCGATCAATATTTGGAGAGGGACAGAATATTAGCAGAGCTCAGGGAGCATTTACTAAGAGCTCAAAAAATAATGAAGAGAAAAACGGATGAACACATGAGAGAGGTGCAGTTTGAACCAGGGGACATAGTCTATTTGAAGCTTAGGCCCAATCGACAGAAGACGTTGGCTAGAAGGAATAGTGGGAAACTGTCACCAAGGTATTATGGACTATATGAGGTGATGACATGCATCAGGGAAGTGGCTTATTGTTATCACGATCATCCGTACTACACCCGATCCTTCATGTGTCATAGTTGAGATGTGCTATTGGAGATCATACACCCTCATCTACACTACCACCGACGCTGACAGAAGACTTGTATTACACCCGATCCTTCATGTGTCACAGTTGAGATGTGCTATTGGAGATCATGCACCCTCATCTACACTACCACCGACACTGACA